AACCCTGTAACAATATGCGTTTTGTACTGCTGTTACACAGCACAAAACGCATAATAATGAAAAAAGAAGGGAGGTGGCTCTCACCCACAACATTTTAAAAGAACGCTAAGGAAGCGATCAATCACTGCTAAGAAAATGATTCTTGAGTTCATCCCTCGACAACAACCCACAACTACAGGCGCAATATCGAAACAGGCTCAAAGGTCACGCGGCAACATCCCCTGATTACTTGCAATTCTTAACATCCACTCACCACTCAACAGCCCACCATAAATCGGCCGAGGAGCACGCAAAATATTAAAACCCGTCTTTTTATTCATTCTGAGCCATTCCCACGCTGTCTTGTATATCGCATATTTTGTACTTCCCTGCGCAGCTTTCTTACTTTTTGATTAAAAAAGCAGTGCTTTGTATTTCCCAAACTTAACTGGAAAGGAAACTGCATAGAGTCTTCCCAGTACGATGCGGAGTTGTCAAGATTTGTATCCTGCCATCATACAAAATTACCCAACCCGCTGTCATTTCCATACCATGGATGAGGTACGTGAGACAAAATTTTACAACGAAAACATAAAATACGTAAAGAGTATTTGAAAGTCGCAACTGTCACTGAAAAAAATAAAAATTACAGTCTTTCAAGCATTTTGATGCGACTCTGTACCATTGACGCTCTCTTAGCGTTATAACGAAATTTATCAATGAACTCCTGGGTGTGCTGGCGCAGCTGCTGTTGCGCTTCATATTCCCTGAAATTTTCAATCGTTATTTTTCTAGATATTACACGAATGTGAAACGAGGGCACACAAAGATCGCAAAAATTGTAAAATTCATTGGGTTTTTTTTTTTTGTATCATGAATATTACTCATCGAGTGAACAATTCTAAGAACTAAAAGACAAAGAGAATGAGGCACCTTTGTTGTTGCACAAGCTTGCTGCTCATTGTCTTCTCAAACACCGCATAATTGCCTTTGTACTGTTCAAGCCGTTTTGAATGCAAATGTATTATATCCGTGCAAACGGTGTTCAAAAAGCTGCGATCATGCGATACAATGACAATTGTGGATGTCCATTCCTGCAAGGCAAATGTTCGTAGAGAAGCAGGCACTGCTCCGAATTCAATCCACCGAAAAATCATTTGAGTCTGCTCTACTCCTTTGCAAAAAATTATTTTTTTTTTTTGCAGCACCAAACTTCCCTTTCTCCAACGCACTCATCCTTTGTTATTTAAAAGCTTGATGCGTATCCTTTTTGATGAACAAAACCGGATGAAGCCTAAATTAAACTGGAAAAAATTGCCGTATTTCTTCGAATGTTTTGCTTTCTTGAGGGGATTTCCGGTTTTGTGTGGGTGAAACAGCTAACGCGTACATTGCGATCTTTCTAAATTTTAACCACCCCATTTCGCACCGACTCTGCCGTCTGTGTTTACAGTTTAGGGATGAAACAAACACCGGATAACAGCTAATGCACATACAGGCTCGCTTATCTAGGTATCTGAATTAGCACTCACTGCTTTCCCACAGTTAACTATATTCGGCTGTGTCCTTTTCATTGGCTAACAAGAACGAACAACCAACGAGCACTGCTTTTACAACTCCACAACAACGAACATTCATTCATCTGTGCATTATTTGACACATGTGAAGGTCAACTGCTATGACTCGTCCCTCTCCGCATTTTAGGTTTAGAGCACTGCAAATTAATGCAAAGAAAGATGCACGTCAAGTGCGTATTTATGACGGATCCTCCTGTCCTGAGCACTTATTTTTTATCTTTTTTAAGCAAAATGAACTGACTGACTGGAA